CTTTTCTTTTGGCAGCCCTGGAATATCAAGCCCAGAATAAATGCCAAACTCCAAACCCAGCCAGGGTGCTGGTCCTAGGGCTGGCAGTGTGGCCTGGGAGATTGCTGCCCATGGGCATGCATTTTGACCCCCTGTTTCTGAGATCGACTAGAAGGTCCATCTTCATTTTTACCTCTTCCTCATGAACAACATACAGAATGCATACCTCGCATAGACTCTATTTCCTTTCTTGCTAATTATACCCTCCTCAGTTAAGATTTTTTGAGCATTATTTTCTATAATTTATGTTGGAAAACCATATAGTTCCTTTTTCTTTTTTCTTTTTTGAATGTAAAATTATTTCAACATTTATATCTTAATGTTGAATATACTTGGGAAAAAAGAACCTCCAGGATATCTTAATATCTCCCCACTCCTCCCAGGTTAAGACTCAGGGCTCCAACCCCCTTTCCTTTGGGGTGTCATTCACTGACACAGGTGCTGACCCTCTTGTCCATGAAGGAGTTGTGAGAAGCCCTTATATTAATATTTGTCCTGACTCTCTCAGACTGTAGTCTTACATTGTTAAGGGCACACTGGATCTTTTGCTTGACTGATTCCTCCTTTCAGCTCTTTATATGTCAAGTAGAACTCATTATCCACACCACTTTGAATCCATCCCCCTACTCCATCCCACCTTCTTATTTCTGTTACTGTTTCCCCCAGTCTCCCATCCACCCCTCCTAAAGCATCTCATCCATCACCAAAGCCTGTTCAGTCCTCTTTTTCTTTTTCTTTCCCACGGCCATGATACTAATTTAGGCCCTTCCCCTGTAACTGATCTCTGTGCCTCCGTCTCTTTCCCTCTAATCCATCTCATCCACAGTATTGCAAAAATAATCTTCTTCGATATCTTCCTTGGGTTTTTCTTTTGCCCACGAACCCTCGATATCTCCCATCAGGGACAAGATCAAGTCTACTTTGCTTAGCCTTGAAACCTAAGACCTCCATACTCTGATTCTTAGGATCGTCTTTCACTTTTTCCTTATATGAACTATGCACATGTATTCATTCCTTTATTTGTATGGCATCCTATTACGTCCCAACTATGTGCCTGGCAGTGTCCTGGTAGCTTCTGAAAAACTGAACAGAAAAGTGCTTACCAATGCACGTTGTGATCATGGGATCTCATGCTGCTACCTGGAGTGTCCTCCATCTAAACCCTAAACCATTTTCCAAGACCGTTAAACATTCCTCTGTCCTCCAGAAACCTTTTCTGAGTACCTGGGACCCTCTTTATAGTCCCTACTGGTCTTGTTGTCTGAATTAATCATTTGACACTTAGCAATTATCCATTCACTCCTCATTCAGTCATCAAACACACACTGAACACCTATTGTCTGTCAGGTACTATAATAAGTGTTGCCTTACATGTCAGTGTATTTTCATAGCATAATAAAAATAACATCAACAACAACTGTTATAAAGCTCTTGTCAGGCTGGGCATGGTGGCTCATGCCTGTAATCCCAGCACTTTGGGAGGCTGCGGCAGGCAGATCACCTGAGGTCAGGAGTTCGAGACCAGCCTGGCCAACATGTGGAAACCCCATTTCTACTAAAAATACAAAATTTAGCCAGGCATGATGACACACACCTGTAATCCTAGCTACTCAGAAGGTTGAGGCAGGAGAATCACTTGAATCTGGGAGGCGGAAGTTGCAGTGAGCTGAGATTGCACCATTGCACTTTAGCCTGGGCAACAGAGTGAGACTGTCTCAAAAAAAAAAAAAAAAAAAAAAAAGAAAAGAAAAAGCTCCTATGTGTAGGTACAAATTTATATATATTAATCCTTAAAATAACTTTAGAGGTAGGCATTATCATTAGTCAAAATTTATGATAGGAAAATCAAGGCAAAGAAATGTTTAACAACTTTCCTAGTGTCACAAGTTAGAAAGTAGCACAGATGGAAATCAAATCTGGCTCTGAAGTCCTTGATCCCCCATGCATCACTGTCAGGTATCAGTATATATGTCAAATGTGTGTGTGTGTAAATATAAGCACATGCATACCTTCCCAGGTAGACTGAACTCTAGAGGTCAGGGATGATATTCCACACTTACTTGTATCCCCACTAGTCTATGCATGTGGTAGATACATGAATTGTTTGGATAATTGGTTGTTGGTACTTCCATTCACTGTTGAGGGGCTTGAGATTTTTAGCAGCAAGTAGGAGTGTTTGAGGTAGAAGGCGGAGAAGCAGAATTTCAAAATAGACCTGGGCATGATGGAATTCTTGGTTTCTAGTTTTTAACTCTGCAAGCTCTGAGGACAGGTTTGTGCAAGAAAATGTACTAATTTTGTAAAAGCCCTTGAAAGTGGAAGAAAATTCTTTTCTCAAAAAGCAAAATGAAACAAATCATATTATGGTTACGTGGTTTCTCCCCCCAGTCCTGTTTCCTGTCACACTGATTCATATCCATTTTGCTTTATTGGCTATAAAAACAAAGTTTTGGCATCAGGATCGCATATCTCGTTTTCTGGCCTAGTATTTCTATTTAAGGGTTTTATAAGTCGAATATGAACATTTTATTTGAGTGGCAATACTGCAACTACATATGTAGTTTAATAAAACCTGATAAGTACATATTTGAATTTTTAAAACACAGGTGGTGAATTATTTGCATTTTGAAAGGATTCTTCCCTTTATGAAAGGGTCCACTGCAGGTTTCTATTAAATATCCAATTCCCCTTAGTGCATTTATTATACGATTTAATTTACCAAAACGTGATTTGTAGGCCACTCTAAAGGGGTGGCTCTCAAGTTCCAGTAAGCATGGGAATCACTTGGGCAACTTGTTTAAAATTCAGATCTGGCCCCCATTCCTTCCCCAAATTCTGATCCATTAGGTCTTGGGTGAAGCCCAGGATCTTTGTTTTTAAATAATCATCTCCAGGTGGCCGATATAGATCGTCAGTGAAATACACTTTTTGGGAAGCACAAGATAAGGTGCAACTGTAGGGGTTTTTATGAGGCTTGAATCCCCTCTTACTACGAATTGTCCTGTTCACTCTTTATTTGGTAAATTTAAAAATATTAACATGGGTCAAATAAAGACTCTTCCATCTCTTTCCTACTCACTTCTTCCTGCAGCTGCCAAACATCTTTAATCTCAGGAGTGAAATGTTTGCCCTTTTTAACGCTGTATTTGACTCTTAGGTAGCTCTTCAGATCTTCCTTATCCTTGTTTTTTTTTTGAGACAAGGTCTTGCTCTGTCACCCAGACTGGAGTGCAGTGGTGCGATCACAGCTCAATGTAGCCTCAAACTTCTTGGCTCAAGCGATCCTCCCACCTCAGTGCCCACCCAAGTGGCTGGGACTACAGGCATACACCACCACCCCAGCTAAGTTTTTAATTTTTATTTTGTAGAGATGGGGTTTCACTATGTTGCCCAGGCTAGTTTTGAACTCCTGGACTCAAGCTATTCTCTTGCCTTGGTCTCCCAAAGTGCTAGGATTACAGGTGTGAGCCACTCTTGTGAGGGTCACCTACTGAATTCATACACCTGTTCTGTCCCTATTTCCCTTGCCACATACTCCAACAGACATTTTAAGAACAGTTATTTCTATGGAAGTTTCTCTTAATCAAGTCTAGGGCCTTTTCTCCTGTCTTCTTACTATACCCTTCCCCCACAAAGACACAAAATGAATTTTTTGAACAAAACAAATCATGAGAATGACTTGTTTTGTCATGATTTCATTCTTCCATGAATATTTATTCTGGTTCTAGAGCAACAAATACTAAAATTGTCTATTTAAAATATTATTATAGTTTAATGAAATTTGTTTAAAAAATAGACCCCATGACATTCGTGGCATGTGTATGTGTGTATTTAATATATCATTGATCTTTTAAAAGTCGGTTGCTTGACCTATATTTTGTCTCTGATTACTTTTCTAAATCTCTAGTAATCTCCAAAAACATTTAGAGATTTCCATACTTTAGAGGTTTTTTTTTTTTCCTTTATTAATCCCCTATATCCCTGAATGTTGCTCAGAGTAAAGATTCTCTGGAGTGATTTGGATATTGTTAAATATCTCCAGTAATAACCAATACAAGAGCAGATAACTGCTACAGTTGGTTCCTGGTTGAAAATCTTTTCTTTTTAATAGATTTATCAAGGCTTGTGCTTTCCTGAACCAAGGAGCTCTTAATATACCTGTTTACCTTCCATAATAATATAACCAGAGGTTCTCTTATCTATTTACTTGGAATTTATATAGCTTTTATAACCATTCAGTGTTGGGCTAGTCCTCCCTGATCAAGTGTGGAGGCCTTTCCAGGAAAGATGGTAGGGGAGAAGTGGAAGAAGTGGTGTCGTTGTCCCTGGGCTAACATGACAGTGATAGAAACAGTTCCAGGCTGTCTGAGCAACTCTTGCAAGCAGGAACTTATTTGGTACATTCCATAGGATTCAATTTTTGTAGAAAAGACTATCTAGAGGAAAAAAAAATTGGATGGTAGTCTCTGGAAGGTGGGATTGCAACTGATATTTTTATTTTTATTCTGATGATTTTTCCCAAGTTTCTACAGTGACCGTGTATTACTATTATAAGTAATTTAAAAGAAAGAAACCAACTTTACCTGGCGTCTTAAGTCTGCTTCCCAAGGGACTTAATCTTTAACAGATCTATCACAAATCCTACTTTTTGCACAGAACAATGGTAAAAGGAAAGTTCTGGAGATTAGGCCCAGAGCAGTTCCGCAAACACAAGACTGTAAGCTAGAAAGCCAGGCTTTCTGCCCAGCAGCAGGAAGGCTGGGGTGTCCATGCTTGTTGCATGTCCCAGGATATGTGCATGTGGAGTCTGTGACGTGTGAGCAAGCGCGTGGCCCTTGCCACTCCTTTTTCTACTCAAGAATTAAGATTGTATTGCTTTTGAGATTTTAACTTTGTCTTCTTTCTTTTTTTCCTTACCCTTCCCCGCTCCTCTTCCCTTTCTCCCTTTTTCTCTTCCTCAGGCCTCTCCCACCTCATGATGAGTGAACAAGGTAGGTGCTTTGTGCTTGTGGTCCTGCAGCTGCCTGAACCGCTTGCCTCCCTGCCTCTGGCTGGTCACAGAGCCTCATCGTCACTGGCAGGCCATTCGCTGCGCTGCCTGTCCTTCCCGCATTGGGCCAGGCTGGCTGCAGGACCCTCCTCAGTGGGGGTGGGGGCACCTTCCTTGATGCATCGTGGTTTCCCATCCCCATTGTCCCCTTGGCTTCTCCATTCTCCACCGCCATTTGTCATTTTGGGCGCTGGCCCTGCTGGGCTGCATCCAAGAGGGAAGCATGAAACCAGGCATGACGGTGTTGATAATGGGGGTGAATGAAGCTAATTTCAGAGCAACCAAGCGGTTAACTTCCTCCTGCTCCTCCCTAGGCCCCATGCCGGGGCTCCAGGATGGGGGAGAGGAGCTGGGCTCCTCCCTGAATTTCCCTCTGAGGAACGGTTTGCTTTTTGTCTTCCCCTCCATTCCACTGCCCATAATGATCTGCTCTCCATGGTCAAAGGAAGCCGTTGGGGGTTTGACTGTTTTCAGTTTTATATAAAAGCAAAAACCACCTAAAGAACATGTTAATGTCCTCATGGCGGAATTCTAACTCATTATACACCCTGAAGAAAACTGCATATAAAGAACTGTAAATTCAGCATCTGCAACCTAAAATATTCAAATATGCAAGGAATGAACTGTGCAGGAAATTCAGCTCAGCTAAGCACAGGGTGGGCTGTGAATGAAGCCTTTTTCTCCTAAATAAAAATTTTCCACATTATCAGCCTAAATCAGAAGTTGAGAGCTGAGCCTACTTAAAATTGTCTTTTCCTTCACAGTTCAATTGCTGCTATTGTGTTTCTTCTGAGCCTTGGGATGATTGCAAGATTGGTCTACCTGCCTTGCCCTATAACCAAAAACTCTAATTTTTCTTGACTATGTCTTGTTGAAATATACATGGGACTCAGTACCTCTTTCAGAGGACCAAAGAAAATGGGAAAGAGGGATAATTCCATATTTTCCTGTTTTTCTTGATCTCATGAGGAGGGTGGGACTTCCTCTCCCCTGCTCCCTGACATTGAGTCCATCAGACATTTTTGACATAAAGGGCAGTATCATCAAATCAAGGAACTGCTCAAGGCTGGAAGAAGTTTGTTTATGGTATGCAGTTAGCTGTGGAAGTGGGCAGTTAAGGGCATCCTGAATTGACAAAGCAAGGTAAGGAGGAAGCCTGCTTTTCCAATGTAAATGCATCCTCCAGACCTAAGCCAAGATCAGTGGTGTAGACTTCAGCAATTTCAATAAAGAGATGATTTGGTAGAGAGCATATGTCAAAAAATAGAACTGGGAGAGGAGATCAGGTGAGTTCTCTAGTATTAGAAGGCGCTCCAGAAGAGGCTGAGATCAAGTTTCTGTTCTTGCAGTTTAGCCAGGGAGGGAAGGGCCAACAGCAAGTGATTATGAGGTGGACATGAGTAGGGGATGTGCCTGATGTTGAGCAGTGTCCAGGTAGCTTGAGAGGGTTAAGCACATCTCTTTGAGGAACCGAGCTCTATGAATTGCTGGAATTTGATGACTCAACTTTGGTGACAAGTTACACCAGCAAAAGCAGACTCTTAGAGTCCCAATCTCCCCCTACATTATTTTTTCCCCTCCTATATTCTTTAGCCTTATGCTCCCAGGTGCCCCTCAGGAGTCCTCCAAGCTTTATAGTAGCCTGGAGAACTAAGTGAATCACATCATAGGACAGAGTGTGGCAGGTGGGATAAGCTGATGGGGACTTCCTTGATCTTGATTTAGCTTATTGCAGACACACTGATGCAGCATGGATATCTTGGAAGGTTAAATCCCAACACTGGTATAAAAAACATTTGGACAGCCTATATTATATTCCTTATGCACAACACAGAGCTTCAAATACAACCATGCTCTGGGAGAATAAGTCTGGTACCTTCTAGAAAGAGAGAAAGAAATAATGACAGACATGGATGTTGTGAATTCCTCTTTCAAGAGGTTTTCAAGAAAGGATGCAGAATTCTTCTGGGTGACTGGTGCTACTAATATTTTAAGTTGCAACTTGAAGTTTAATCTGTTTTTAAGGCGGTCCTTTGACTGCATTCCTCTTCCTTTCATTCTTTTTCATTTCCTATCCCCTTATCTGTTCTCACCCATTTGATGATTACCTAAAAAACTGATACTCTTCTTCTCATCAGTAATCCTTTCCTTTTCCTTATTCCTTCAACATGAAAAAAGGAGGTTTCTGTCTGGTTTCCACTGAATCTTATTAATTTGTTTTTGATGCCCATAAATATGTGTGGAAATATTTACGTATGTTATGTGTACACCACCTATACATGTATGTTATACTCTTGGTCCTCATAACTCATATTAATGTTAGGAAAATACAGGAGAACCTATCTTCTCTGAGATGTTCCCTAATAACTTTTATATTAAGTGCATGCAATTTCACGTACAGTGCAATTTCAGGCTGTGCAGTGCTGTTTGCATGCAGACTTTGTCATGTTTCTGAGGATGGGACTGAGAAGAAATGAATGGGATGGAGCTTGAACATGAAGCTGAGGGAGCAGCCTTGCTGGTCACAGCGTTTACTGCTTGTTTAAACTTCCATGTTGTATGTTTGTTTTGCGCTGCCTCCTCAGGATGTTGCAATGCTACTGCCTTTACTGTTGCGAGTTTTTGTTTTGGGTGTTTTACGTCTCTTTGTGTGTCTGCAGTGTGCTGATGTTTGACTCTCCTTGCTCTCTCTCTGTCTCTCTCTCTCTCTCTCGCCGCCTCCATGGTGGGACACATGCTTCCTCTACTTACTTGGACCTTCATTTCTGTAGGTAGAAGTAAAGGTAGAGCTCACTTTACTTTTATCATTATAACTATCAATCTGCGTCTTGAAATATTCATGCATCCAAGAGGATTGTCGATTCTGAATGCAGTCCAGATTATAAATTAGGATTGTTGATTCTGAATACAGTCCAGATGATAAATTAATGATTTTAACAACAGAAAAATAAGAATAAAAATAAAAAGCCAGTGCTATCATTTCCCTTCAGTGCACTTCACATTCAGTGTTTGGGGATGATTCTGTATTGGCCTGCCTCCCTCTAAACTGAGGGTGGGCCTTCTGCATGATCTTGTACTCTTTCTAGCAGGAATGGGGGACTCTGAAAGTGGTTACACAGTGTGGGGAAGATACATGTTACTTCCATGCAGGGTGTTCTAAGATCCCCTCCTAGTAAATATATTGAGGGAACAGGGGAAGTATGAAATTATGCATCATTATTGCTATTACTTGAAATAACTGAATTTGGGGATAACATTGGTGGGGGAAGGATGGTAGACGAGAAAGGGAGAGTATTGGTGAATTGCCTGAAATTTTATTTAATGTGGAATTGCGAGGGGGGATATTTATTTATTTATCTTTTTTCCCTGTGTTGTATTTCCTGTATATGTGGGATTTGGAATTTTCTGATGGGGTAATGGGTTCAGAAGGGTGGGACTGGGAGGGTGTAAAAGAACACAGGAATGAAAATGTGTTATACAGTCAGGAGTAAGAGGAGAAAGAGGTAATGTAGGATTTTTACTTACAAAGCCAGCCTTTTGCCAGGTGGGCAGAGAAAAGTAGAGAGGCTGAGTGCGCGAGCTTGTGCCAGCACTCTGACATACCTTTCATCGCATCACACCTTTGGGTAACGCATCCATTTCTAATCAAAGCTCTCAGAGACCCAAGCCTAGAGAACCTGGCTCACTAGCTCAAATTGGATTAGTTGTTCAGGAGTGAAGGGAGAGGTTAACTGATAAATTATAAGTATGTGTCTGCATCTAGTCTTCCCTGCTTCCTCCTTCACTCTGCAGCCCCTATCTCAATGAGTATGTGTGCTGTCTCTTCCTTCAAAGACTGGCAAGTAACAGAAGTAGGAAATGTGTTTTATGCCATGAGGATGTTGAAGAAAGAAGGGGCCGACAAGTTATTGAAAGCATGGATTCAATGACGCGTCTGTGAGCTGGCTATCTCTTATTTGAGTTTTATGCTTTTCTGGGTCTTTGAAAAGTTATGTATGGTTGCCTTGGAAGCAGTTCAGTCCTTTCCACTTTGGGGTTGGTTGATTGCCTGTTCCTTTTATGCAAATCCCAGGTGGCTTCATTCTCAGAAATCTGTCATGGGGAACCCTTACCCCATTGCTAAGTTGGTATCTTTTGAAAGGAGGTAGGTGGAAAAGCGGGGAGAGGAAGAGGAATAAATGATTACAGGGCTACATCTGGCTGTATCTCCACCTCACCACTGATGCTACTCAGTGGAAGGCACTGGTGATCTCAGAGGCACAGCCACCAATCTGCCTAGGACTCAACTTTTCTGATGCATGTGGCACTGTTGCCTCTTCTCTCAATGGCAATGCATTAGAGTCAGTCTCTGTCTCCTTGTCTTTCCCTAATCCCTTACAACATCCCATAAAATAGATGTTTTAAGTGTTTTTTAGATTTTGCACGTGAGTATCTTCTTTCTCTGAGTCACTGCTACTACCACTACTAGAAGCTGTTAACACTTACGGAGTACTCGTCATGCACCAGCCATTGTGCTATATGGTTAATGGACTTGTCGCACTTAATGCTCATAACTCGTCTGTGAGGTAGGTGGTGGCATTATTATTGTTTTATGGATAAGAATAAGGCTCAGAGTCAGATAACATAAGTTGATGACTACTAAGTGAGAATCGAGCCCAGAATCTGTGCCCCTAACCCCTACTCTACACTGCCTCTCCCGGATACAAAGGTGCCCTCCATGTTTAAGCCTTCTAGCTACCTCTCTGCACTGACCTGTCATAAGTTCCAGCCTACCACCTTGCATTCTCTGTAACATATGTCTATGTAAATGCCCCACTAAGGGAGGCACTTCAGTAGGCTCAAAGTCAACCTTCTTATCATCTGCCCACAAACCAGCTTCCCTTTATGATGTCTCCCCGTTTGTTAATGCAGTTCCCACTCGCCTTATCACCGGGTGTGAAACCCAGGAATTACTTTCTATCATTCTCCTTCCTGAACCTTCCTACTCCCAGGCAATTGGTAGAGAGAGAGCTTGTTGAGACTCTCCTCCGGAAAGTCTCTTGCATCTCTACTGTCAGCTCCCTGGATCAGTTTCCAGTTAGCACTTACTCAATTATTGCCCTCTCCTAATTAGTCTTTCTGCCTCTATTCTCTTCCAGTCTATTCAGTGGTTGAGAATTGCTTAAACTCTGCCACCCACCAAATGGAGTGCAGGATTAGTTATCCCACTTTCAAAGCCTTCCCTTATATGGTCCTGTTTACCTTTATCCTGCTCCTCCGTTAAGTTTAGCTACAAAATTGCTGCTCCAGCCAAGTGGAATACCAAATAACCTCTCTAGAATTTCCTCATCTCTTACCTTTGCTTATTCTGTTTCTCTACCTTCTAACAGCCCCTCATCCCCTTTTTTCTGCCTGTTGAAAAATACATATGTTTCATTTCTTATGTGACATTTTCCTTGAATGCTCCATTCAGAGTTGGGCTCGTCCTCCATGTACCTCTCTAACAATTTATATGGAAGTTAATTGGGAATTGGACTGCTCCCCTCTACTAGATTGCACATATTTGACAAACGTATTCATTTGTTAACATCCAGATGTGTCTGGCATAGTGTGTTCCATGCAGAAAGGACTCAGAATCTCTAATCCTCTTATTCTGCTGTCGTTTATCTTCCTGAAAGTGAAAATAAAGCAAAATTAAAATTAAATCGGGTCATGTAGCTCATCTGTTCCAAAATTTTAGGTAGATTCTTGTTGTATAATTGTCAAGGTGCCTTCCCTGCTTTATTTTCAGTGGGCATACCCCCTCTGCCCACCATCACCCCTGCCAGCTCCTCCATCTCCCAAAGTCCCCAGGTCACTCTGCTTGCATCCACACTGTGTTCTCCCGCCTTCGGACTTTTGCTCAAGCTCTACTACTCTCTTTCTTGAATGTCCTTGAACATGCTTCTCCCTCTTATCCTTGAAGATCCAAGGCTCCTAGGTCTGCCAGACTTTGTGCTGTGTTATAAGGTAACTATGCCAAACTGCCTTGAGTCACATTTACTCATGTGTTTCAATCCACTCCCCACAACCTGTCCCACAAAAGACCAAGACCTGTGTCTTTGCTGTCTCTGTCACTCATTCTACACAAACTCAGTACTAGGGCCAGAGTTGTACTTAATGAATGCTTACAAAATTAAGTAATGGTTTAACCGAACTAAACAACTGATTTTAGATATGGGGGAGGGGAGATGGACAGGATTAGATTTTCAATGCTGATATTAGTAATGAAATCACTCTACTTACTAACATATGTTCCTTATCACAACCCTCATGACCCCTAATCACTGAGCAAAGGAGCCCCAGTGGGTCATGAAGTGAGACCACGTGTTCTGGCTCCAGTTCCCTCCTCACTAAGGCCTTCTCTGGCCCTGTGTGTGCAAGTGTCAGAGGGAAAATTTTATAGATTACACCAGAATAAGCATGGGAGAGGTCTTGAATTTATTCTTAGACATTTGTCAGAGAAAAGAAGGAATATACCTCAGATGTTGTCATTCTTTTAAAGCTGATTGATGAAGTAGTAAATCCATAATGGAAAGAATTGTCAAGTTAAATCTACAGAACTGAGCAGGGTGGGTAGGCTATAACAAAAACCACTCTGTTCAGGAGGCTGTTAGGCAGGACATGGCCAAAAACAAGCGCGAACTTACCTAGAAGTGGCTCGCACAGAGGACTTCAGCAACTAGCCTTGGTCAGCTGTTCTGAAAGCCCCCATTTAAGTGTTGAGAGTATATTTTGGCCTTCTTCCCCTTCTTCTAGTCCATTTAGGGATTACCCATTCTGGATGAGGTTACCAAATACCTTCCCTTGAAACTGAACTCAGGGCAGGGGTCACAGACCCAAAAGCCAGCAGGGTCCTGACCAGTATTATGAAGTAGACCTGGGGATAAATAGTGTCCTAGTGTAAGAGAAGCAATAGGTCATGGTGGGAATCATGACAAACTGGAGAGCGCAAGTGCCATCAAAGGCAGCAGCCTCCACTCTGCTCCAGCTAATCGCTGCCACGCAAGGATGCAGGCACAGTCACCAGATGCTCAAGAAAAGCCAGAAGTGGACGTGATAAAAATGTCATCTCAAGGTATCTTCTCCTCTATACGTACGTATGAACACACACACAGGTGTGTACCTGCGTGCCAGATGATTTGGTGCATGAGCTGTAAGTTTTTTACCTTTGGTTTGAGAATAAGGGAGGAGAAAAAGATGCCTTCAAAATTTCTTACTGGATGTCAGTAGTGGGAGGTAGTTTGATTAATTTTCTGTTTGACCATTGCTGTGATCAGTTACCAGGAATCCTTCCTACCCTTGGCACTACCTTCAGAGAGGCTGGTCTGTGTTGGGTAAAGTTGCTTTTGTAGAGTGGTGTGGGAAAGTGTGGGGAGGGTATGGAGAATGCAGAGCATGACCTGGGAGAGAGGTATCTGACATCTTCAACAATGATCAAGAACGGATTTTTAAACCTTTAGGGCAGCCGGGGCAGCAGGGGGATTTTGTTTCTTTTTCCCTTTGCTCTACAGAGTTTTGTATTCACTGGATTAGATAGTGTTGACCCTAAGATCTCTTCTAGTCCTTTAGAGTTTAGAAGGCCCTTTTGATTTGTTTATGTGTATTTTTCGCATGTAGATTTGATCACTGGCCTTCTAATGCTAAGCTAATCAACACTGGCCAAACTGGAAAGGGATAATCAAGCTACATGAATTTGAACATGATTTCATGTAGATTGCATTTTACTGGTAATAACATTAAGAAAGCTGATTTAAGGAGTTGA